TACTAGCTGTTACTGAGTGCCCTAAGGATGATTTATTCATTTATTTTTTTGTAGGCCAGTCCGGAGATTGTAAATATCAAGCATGTTTGATATTTATGATTTAAAAACAGATAAACTCTGAGCCAGTCAGGAGCATTAACATCATGTCTGTAAACCCCTCACACTACAGGATCTGTTTCTACACAAAACCAGGCATAATCAAAAACCTGCGGACTTCAGGGTGAGAGAACCAGAAATGCAAAAATGCTAACTCAGTTCCAGGTTGTCGGAGTCACTACTACGGCACTCTATTTTGCAGGATACAATACAATATGATTGAATATCAAACAGCAATTAGTCAGCATTCATATATTTTTTCCCCTTTACATGCCTAATTTTTGTTGACACACCTCTTTCTTGCTTTCATTTGCAGATCCCAGACCCGTTAGTGTGAGCAATAGCGCATAGCACTCAATAAAACTAAGTTAATAAGTACTGTACAAAGCCAATATCTATCAATAAGTTAATACACTACAGACAAATGTACACTAGCAAACACACTTCACTAGTAATCTTGAACCTGAACCAAATAATCTCTGAAATCAAACACTGGCAGTGCGAGCTTCTTTACAAATAAAATCACACCCGTTAGAGAAAAAATTGGTCGGACCTCTCCCACAGCTCTCGCAGATGTGCCATCGACTACAATGGCTTTAGAAACATCTGTAAGACCTCATTTATACTTGGACTGCTTCTCCCCTATAGATCTCTCTGAGTTGACCTTAACAATTGCTTCATCTAAATCATCAACATGTCTCCTGGACCCCATCCCGACCAGGCTGCCCAAAGACGTCTTTCCCCTAATCAACACATCCATACTAGATCTGATTAACCTCTCTCTATTAACAGGTTATGTTCCACAGGCTTTTAAAGTTGCAGTAATTAAACCTCTACTCAAAAAGCCTACTCTTGACCCAGGTGTCCTAGCTAATTATAGACCAATATCCAATCTCCCATTTATTTCCAAAATCCTTCAAAAAGCTGTTGCAAAGCAGTTATGTGACCACTTGCACAAGAATGATTTGTTTGAGGATTTTCAGCCAGGATTTAGAGTCCATCATAGTAGGTAGTGAAACCGCATTGGTGAAAGTCACCAATGATCTTCTCCTAGCCTCAGACAAAGGACTTGTCTCCATACTTGTCCTCTTAGATCTCAGTGCTGCTTTTGACACCACTGATCACAGCATCTTACTGCAGAGACTTGAACATGTTATTGGGATTAAAGGAACTGCGCTAAGTTGGTTCAAATCTTATTTATCAGAAAGATTTCAATTTGTTCATGTTAATGACGAATGTTCCACACAAACTGAAGTTAGTCACGGCGTTCCACAGGGCTCTGTGTTAGGTCCAATTCTCTTCACTTTATACATGCTCCCTTTAGGCAATATTATCAGGAAGCACAACATAAATTGCCATTGCTATGCAGATGATACTCAGTTATATTTATCTATGAAGCCAAATGAATCAGATCAGCTGGTCAAACTTCAAACATGTCTTAAA